TATTTGAAACTTTGTTTTAGGCAAATAGTGTTAAATTATCTAAAACTATTTGTCCTTATATCCAAAACCAACGTGTCATTGCAGAACTGTTGGAAAAGATGAGTGAAGTTTAAATGATTCAATGTGTCTGTGCTTCCTAGAAGTCATTCTAAAATATCAAGTTCGTTGTGAGATTTCTTCTTCTTGTTATTTGTTTTAGTTGTGAGAGTGCCTTACTTGAAAAAGCTTTTTTTACATATGTACATGTAAATTATTCTGACTTAACTTCTTTGCTAGGACCATAATGATGCCTATATGATGCCCATAATGATGTGAGTTACAGGTCAAGTAGGATGTAATACTTGCAACTTAAGCCAGTTCTTCTTCTCTCCCTCAATTTGGGACTAAACACAGGCAATCAGTATGCTATTGTTTTGGATTGCTTATCTAATTTTTACCACTATTTTAATAACATTTCAAATAAAGTATTTTGACATAAACTTTATTAAAACATTAATCTTCCCATAGTTTTATTACCTTTATAATTGAGAAATACGTGAACATGAATGTTAATTTTATCATACAAAATCTTAGGGGAGTTGATGAAATCTGAACAAACTGGGAGAAAATGTTTTTCTTCATATTGGTTTCTTATAATTAAAGGATATATTTTATTAGAGAAAATAAATGATTAAAATTACTTGGTAGTACAATAACATAGAGACGATCAATACATTAAACAGGAGATATACATGGATTTCTGGTGTGTTTTAAAATCCTTCTGGACTTGCAGACCACAGAAACTGGGAAATTTGGTACAGCACATAATGTAAATAAGCATATGTATAATCAAATAAATATGTATCTAAATATCACCAATAAAATTTTATTGGTGATATTTAGATACATATTTATTTGATTATACATATGCTTATTTACATTATGTGCTGTACCAAATTTACATATACATACACACACTCACAGATTTAAAATATACTACAGTAGGAGATAGAGGGCATGATAATATAAGATAATTATTATTGGTTAAAAAAACTGTAAGCCTCAATGTTTCTTGAAAAAACAATAAAGAAAGAAAATAGTGTTTACAATGAAGATTATAGCAACAGCAATCTCAGAGTGAGCTATGAAAAACAAAGACATGCATTTTGTCACATTAAATATAAAGATGATTACATTTTATTTGAACTTAAATCATTTAATTTTTTAAAAGAATTATGGCCTCCTCCTATCTTACCCTGACTCAATGAACACATCTTTCTTATATTAGATATTTGGTAATGTGTGCCAGTAGATAGAAATGTTAGACAAATATCTTTAGCAAATACAATGATAAGTAACATAAATCTTGTATTTTTTTTGCTAGGTTTGTACAGCTTGGCAATTTAGAAAGGCAAAAAAGAAATATCATCATTGATAAATACCTATTTTCTTATTAGTCAAGAAAATATAAATGAGCTTCCTCTCACCAGCTTTGAAGTTCTGTGGAAAGAACCAGATTGCTTTTTTTTTCACATATTGCTATCTTTCTTGAATATCAGTTATAATTTTTAAAGCTACAATCTTTGAGAAAATCCTACCTGCTTTTTTCAACTCAGTGGAAATTGAAGTACATTCTGAAAATTGTATTGTGCCATAAAACTGGTTACTTAAAGTCTCCTAACTTTATTTTCTTATATTTTAAAATAATTTTTTCTATGCCTTTGCTTACCCAAAGAGCCTCATAATAATTTTGATAATACTTTTCACATTTGAATGTAAGGTAGAAACCCCCTTTTTGTCTCATCAAGAAGTGAGAAAAGAATAATATTTACACATTTATTTAAATAATCATCAAGTGTTAAATTATTGTTAAGGGATCGAAGAGCCTATAGCATCTGAATAACAAGTATTTGGAAGGACATGAACAAGAGTGACTAAATAGTTGCAGCTTCTTCATTCTTTGATTAAAAATATATTTATCTCATTGTAGTTGTTCTTTACTTTCTCCAAGCTTTTACCTCAATTAGAGAAAAATAATTTATGTAAAATGAATAATTTAGAAACAACATGATGGTGCTTCAAAGATGCTTATGAGAATTCAGCCTGTTAAACCATGTAAAATACTTACAAAATTATATGAATAAATGGATCACTGTTATTTCAACTCAGGCATATTGAGTAAAAGAAATCTTAGAGAAATGAATCAGAGATTGTCATACTTTACTATTGTTATGTCATCAAATTAAAGTGGCAGTTTGCCATTGTCACTGAAGCATTGTGGACATCTGTAACATATGGCACCACAGGAAACATTCTTACTTGTTTTTACCTGTAATTAAGCCTCTGTCTTGACTCTTTCATGTGTCTCTAACATGGCGCAATGAGAACAATTTATCAATTTTTTTAATCTTTTGAGACTCTCCCTGAGGAGACAGAAGGCAATTTGTTGATAATCCCTAAAGCATGTGAGAGCAGAACAAAATGTTTCCAGGCTGCCCATTAGTTGTAGAAGACAATTTGTATTCACTAGTGTATCAGAGTTCTCCAGAAAAACAGACAAGAGGAGCTATTTAGATGACAGATAGATAGACAGATGATAGATAGATAGATAGATAGGTAGATGATAGAGATTTATTATGAGGAATTTCTTTACGCAGTTAAGTAGACAGGATTCCTGTGGTTTTCTGTCTGCAAGTTCCAAGAAAGCATGTGATATAGATTCAGTTAAAACTTGAAATATTGGGGAGCCAAGGGTGTAGGTGATGGTCTGAATTCAAAGGCTCTAAAATCTTGGATGTTAATGTCTGATGGCAGGATACGAAGGAGGTCCTAGCTTAAGCAGGGAGCGAACTCACTCTTGCTCTGTTCTTTTTTGTATTCAAGGCCTCAGTTGATTGCATTGATCCCCATCTATATTGATGAGGATGATCATTACTCTGCCTACCAATTCTAGCCTCTTTCAGGAACATCCTCACAGGGACGCCACATCCAGATATAATGTTTATCAGCTATCAGGGCATCATACAGCCCAGTTAAATCAACACCTTAACTATCATTTCTCCACCCCTTGTCAACTTGGCAAGCATAAGCATGTAGTTAAACCATACTTAGTCTCTAAACAGAGACAATAACAAGGTCATAGTTGTGCTTTACATGACACAACTATTCTGCATTTAAATTAAAACTCACTAATCCCTTATTCCAAAAAGGAAATATACTCTCTGAGTTATATTGACTCTTCTCCTGATTTTCTCAGACTAAAATTCTATAATGTAAAACTGACGATATTTAAACATTGATGTAAAGTCCGTATATCTTATTGATATAATAAGTGAATAAAAGAGGGAATAAAGGATCTTCACTTAATAAATACACATATTTTTATGGAATTCTCATTAAAATTACAGGCCTCATTTCTGTAACTGACCACATGATTATAGCTTGTATTCATAACTGTCTTCTATCCATAATGTATTCCCTTTGTCTTTAGCAAGCACCTTAGCTGACCATGTTTTTGTTCCTTGTGAAGTGACCCAAACCTTGATTCCTGAAGAGTTTGGGCCATTAGCCATTCTGGCTAGTTTGGGCTATTACAGTTTTCCATGCATAGGAGATACCCTAAGAGATGTCCCATATTCCAGACTTATTCTCCCTTGAATTGTGAAGGAATAGCCCTATTTACCCTGGAAAGTCAAGATCAGTTATGACGACTTCCTGCTTTGTCTAATGATTCAGTAGCATTAGTAGCTGAAAATGGCTGGGTGAAAGTCTTAACTTCCAATTCAATAGAATTATTGCTGTATCTCTAGGTGGAAGCATTTATTCTTCTGTGACTAAGACCTATGGACCAGCAAAGCTTAAAGGCAATGAAGCAGGAAGAAGAAATTTTGAGAGTCGGTCACTAGGGTTAACAGTGAGTGGTATCACTCCCATTTCCATCTCTTCATTCCTAAACTCCTAAATCCAGACTTTGGCAAAAACAACACAATATACTGCAGACTAATTCAAAGTATATATAGCTTTCCTGGGAGCTTTTCCCCAGCTATTGAAGTCATTGCCATCTATTTGGATTGTAATTAAATTTTCAAAGCCAGTTTCTTTGAGGTGATGGGCAGCATGGTAAAACTAGGGAATTCCATGATCATGGACACATTGCTGCACTTAATCTGTCAAGTGAGTTTCTTTTTTTTTTTTTTTTTTCCCATTTATTTATTTTATTGCATTTTACGTTTTGGGGTACATGTGAAGAACATGCAAAATTGTTGCATAGGAACACACATGGCAGTGTGATTTGCTGCCTTCCTCCCCATCACCTACATCTGGCAT